TTCGCCAGGACCTGCAAACAAGTTTCGCCCACCTTCCTCACGTTTGATCATCATGCAGACTTCGTCGAACCGTGGAAGATGAGATTGACGCAAGAGATGGTAGACAAGGTCATTGTAGCTGGCATCCAACGTTAGCAAAATGGCAAAGACCTTGTCTTCTTCGTTTCTCTCGGTAAGGACTGTGTGATCTGTTGAAGGTGGTCTGATCTCTTCCAACTCATTCCAAAGAGCACAAAATTCTCCTTGGACTTTGTTAAACTGATCTCCATTTTGCTGCAATTGAAAAATCTTTTTCTTGATTTCAAAAATACGGCTAACGTTAGAGATGTTACCGTAAGTATTTTTCAGAGCATCCCATAGCGCCTTGGCAGAATCGAGCGCAATGAAGGATTGAAGAACAGTCTTCTCTAGAGAGCCTTGAAGAATAACCAAGGCCATCTGGTCATCCTGATACCACTTCGCAGCATCTGTTGGTGATATCTGGTTTGTGTTTGCAGCAAGAACAGTTGCATCTTGTTGCTGTGTAGTTGTGTCAGAAGCTCCGCCTTCTGCATCACTTACAGCTGGGGTCGGAGGGTCTTTTTGGATGACGTGAATCCAGAGGCCACGGCTGCTCAGCATGGCCTTGGCTGCCTTGGACCAGTAGAAGTAATTGTCACCGGTGAGAGTGATCGGAATCGGTTTCAGATTCAGATCCATGTTGAATGAGAAAAAATAACAGCAACAACAGAGAGTTTGACAGCGGAAAAAAACAGGAATCAGAGGGGTTCTCGGACCTTCAACGCTCTGATACCATAAAGAAAAGACAATATGAAGAAACCGAGCAAGAACAGATTCGAAGAAGATGACAGAATCAAAGAAAAAAAAATGCTCTGTATTTCTTGATCTTCTGTAATGAATCTGTACAAAATATATACTACAAACATTGACCATGAATAAATGGAAAGTTACAATATAATCGTTAAGAGAGAAGAAAGGATTTGGAAACTAAATATTGATACTTGCAGAAATGGGAATTTGCAGGATTCACGTGGTGAATTGTTAATCAATTGTGATTTTGGTCTCCTTTTGGCCGTGAGTTTCTTGCTTTGTTATTGCTCGAGTTGACTTCGTCCATTATTGGTTCGTCTCCTTCCTTGTATGTTGCCTCGTCTCTGCTCACTCCGCTAACACTCCAATGAGAGGTGTTGGATATTGCATCCTCACATGAAGCCTCCACGTTTCAAGGATGGACCAAGGAGAGATTCTGCTTTGACTGCAGCACATGAAAATGAAAACTTGGTCAGTCTCACATCCGATGAGTTAAAGGGTCTCAAACATCTCCTTCAATCAATTCATAAAGATACTGGTAACTTTTCTCGTAACTCTTCCATTATACTTGATTCGGGTGCGACCACCCACATGTTTTGTGATGATGTTTTGTTTTCCCATATCACCCCGAGCCATGGTGTCGTGACCATCGCAAACGGTAAGACTGTACCAATCAAGGGGATTGGTAAGATCAAAATATTTGACCGAGAAATCTCGGCCTTATATGTTCCCGAATTCCATGCAAATCTTTTATCCATCTCGAAACTTATTGAAGAAATATCGTGTCGTGTTGTTTTCGATATTAATGGTGTTTTATTTCAGGATATTGAATCGGATCGTGTCTTTGGAAAAGGATCACGGACGGGCAATCTTTATTATCTAGAAGACTTGCATTTTAGCTTTCTTTCGGTTTCTCCTAGTGTGTGGCATGCTCGGTTAGGACATCCACACACTAAGGTCTTTCGCTTGCTTGTTCCCGACGTTAAGACTTTTGATACTCATTGTGAGGCTTGTACGTTAGGAAAACATTGTCGTTCGGTTTTTACGGATTCTACTACTATTTATCATAATGTGTTTGACCTTGTTCATTCGGATGTTTGGACTGCGCCGTGTTTATCTCGTGATCATTTCAAATATTTTGTGACATTTATTGACGAGAAATCCAAGTACACTTGGATTACTCCTTTGAAAAGCAAACGTGATGTTTTCTATGCTACAAAGAATTTTTTCGCATATATTGCTAATCAATTTAATGTCAAGGTCAAGTGCTTACGAACGGATGGTGGAGGCGAGTACATGAGCTTTCAATTTCGAGATTATCTACTTCATGAAGGAATTGTTCACCAACGCTCTTGCCCTCATACACCACAACAAAACGGTGTTGCCGAACGTAAAAATCGTCACTTGATGGAAGTGGCCCGTACTCTTCTCTTCTACCGCAACATCCCAAAGACATTTTGGTGTGATGCCGTGAAGCTCGCTTGCTACCTTATTAATCGTCTACCAACACAAATACTCAAGGATAAATCTCCATTCGAGGTACTCTTCAATCGTCGTGACTCTCTCGATCATTTACGTGTTTTTGGGTGTGTATGCTTTGCCCATATAGATGCAGGCCAAAGAACGAAGCTTGATCCAAAGAGCATTCGTTGCGTCTTCCTCGGCTATCCGGCGAATCAAAAGGGTTATCTATGTTTCCATCCCCCGACGAATCGTGTCTATACCTCCAGACATGTTATATTTGTAGAAGAGCTTAGTTACTTCGACAAGCAAAACTGGAAAGAGATCGAGCAACTTGTCACACAAGGAACCGACGAGAATGATACTCTCGGGCGATTACTCAACACACTAAACAATCTTGGAGCTCACATATCTTCCTCTATTTCTTCGGAGGATCTTCACGCGGATGGTATTCCTTCTCTCCAACCTGTTTCTCTTGATAAATACTTCGATACTAACATTGCAGGTGCAGAAGACAATCTCCAATCACCACCCTCTAATTCACACGTTTCTTCATCTGAGGGAGAAGCCATATCAAACCATCATGCAACACCTGTCACACCTCAGATAGAACTAAGCATGCAGATTCCTTCGCATGTGGAATCTGATTTTGACCAACACGTGCAAATTCCTTTGAATGTGCATGTCCCTTCTCTCAATCACTCAATGACAAAGACCCACCAACTCCGACGATACAACTTCTGTCCGAGGATATCATCGACGCGGCTGCTCCCGACGCACTCGTTCCTCTCGTTCATCCACAACTTCGCCGAAGTGAGAGGGTCCGACGACCAACCTGGAAAGTTGCAGACAACCAATCTAGTGGGCATTTGGCCATCACTACCGTAGCTCACCCCATTGCTATGTACTCTTCTCTTGACTCTTTTCCTACTAATGAGCAAAATTTTTTAAGCGTTATTGAGCAGGGGGTGGAGCCGACTACGTATTCACAAGCTAAAAATATTGACGTGTGGCGCAAGGCAATGAGCGCAGAGCTCGCGGCTCTCGAAAAAAAATGGAACTTGGAAAATCACCAACTTACCACCAGGAAAACAAGCTGTGGGTTGTAAGTGGGTGTATAAAATCAAGTATTTAAGCAACAGTGCCATCGAACGTCATAAAGCCCGACTCGTCGCAAAAGGCTATACTCAAACGTATGGAGAGGATTACACTGAAACTTTTGCTCCGGTTGCCAAGCTACCTACGGTACGCGTTGTTCTCTCTTTAGCCGTTAACCTTGATTGGCAGCTTTGGCAAATGGATGTGAAGAACGCCTTCTTACAAGGCGAGCTCGATGAAGAAATCTTCATGAAGCCTCCGCCGGGATATACGGGACCCTTCCGATCGGGACAGGTTTGTCGGCTTAAGAAAGCCATTTATGGTCTCAAACAATCGCCTCGCGCATGGTATCATCGCTTGTATCAAGCTCTTCTCGTCAAAGGATTTGCAAGAAGCGACTCTGACCACTCTCTCTTCACACTTAAACGATCTACGGGTATTGTCGTTCTTTTAGTTTATGTTGATGATATAATTCTTTCAGGCAATGACATCGATGGTATTCATGATACCAAGACATATTTGAGCAATGTCTTTGATATCAAGGATCTTGGCATGCTCAAATACTTTCTTGGTATTGAAGTTACTCGTACTTCTAACGGCTTATTTTTGTCTCAGCGAAAGTACATCTTAGACATGCTAAACGAGACAGGCAAACTTGGAGCAAAACCAGTCCGAACGCCAATTGAGGAACACTTCAAGGATCAAAGCGACGGGAAAGCATTCGATGATCCAGAACGATACCGTCGTGTCGTCGGTAAGTTGATTTATCTTACCATTACACGCCCTGATATTAGTTTTGCGGTGCATCAGGTTAGTCAATGGATGCACTCCCCAAAGACGAATCATTGGAACATGGTGGATCGCATCCTCAAATATCTCAAAGGAACTCCAAACAAGGGCATTCACATGGACAACAACAAACACACCGCGATTGTAGCCTATTGTGATGCCGATTGGGCCGGAGATAAGACAGATCGAAAATCAACAACAGGCTACTGCACCTTCGTCGGAGGGAATCTGGTCACGTGGAGGAGCAAGAAACAAAATGTCGTGGCACGCTCCAGTGCGGAAGCTGAATATCGGGCAATGGCGAACACGACGAGCGAGGTGGTTTGGCTACGCCAACTCCTCATCGACCTCGGGATTACGACAAAGACGCCCACACCTTTACATTGTGACAATCAAGCGGCGATCCACATAGCAAACAACTCGGTTTTCCATGAGCGAACGAAGCATATTGAAGTAGACTGTCATTTCATCCGGGAAAAGATCACACAAGGTTTAATCACACCAATTTTCACACGGAGTCATGATCAGTTAGCCGACATCCTCACCAAAGCAACTAGCTCGTTCGTCCTCAACACATGCCTTGTCAAGATTGGCCTTGTTGAATTTGGTCGGCCAATCTTGAGAGGGGATGTTAATAGACAAGGAGAGCAAGAAGACTTGAAGATCAATGGTGAACACGACGGACATCTTTCGAAGGAGACAACTCATGAAGAACAAACTTGGGAGACAAGCAACCCAAGTTTCCTTCAAAAAAAGAAAGAAGACAATTGTGGATGCGTATAACTCGAAGAAAGGAAAGAATCCCTTAAACCTTTCTGTATTGAATTTGATAATATCTTGTTGCCATAATGTATTTTCTGTATAGCCGTTTTCTCCATCATTACATATACTTAGGTTAAAAGCATGTAAACATTAAGAGTGAATAAAAATAACCAGAGTACTTTCTTCTTAATTCCTCTCACTTCTTCGACTGGTTTTAGGACCGAGTTCGCATCTCGACCTCTTACAAATCGTGTTTTCTTCATTGGAATTGGCCATTGTCATTTGGTCTTACAGTTCCTTTATTTATATTTCTTAAGAAGAAAATCCTTCAAAGTGTACAAGAAGCCTTTTTCTAAAGAAAAGATTCCGCCTTTTGTACTTTGTAAGGAATTGCCAAGAAAAGGATCTATTTGTTAATTCACTGGTGGAAGCTAAATTTGGTTGTGGTAATGGTAGATGGTATGATGGTAATGGTGGTCATTATCATGATGGTGATGATCATCGTGCCATCCTCCAGATGGATATTCAGGTTATTTTCATCAACGAGTCCCTCACATGATCAGCCTGCACCATTTCACCGTCTTTTCTCTACAATATCCAGAAGAAACAACAAGAGCTTTGTTCAGTTCTGTCTCGTTTTTTGTTTCTTTTGTTGATCCCTCGGACAAGCACAGAGATGGAATCTTACCTCGACCTTGAAGACATTCGAGACAAGATCGAGAGAACGTGTCGTGTTTGCATTTATGACCACGAGCCCCAAAGAATCAAGAGCCTCCATCAACTTCGTGAAGCCACCTAGTTCGTATTCACATATCACCTTTACAGAAAACTCATAACTTCCATCTACCTTGGCCATAGCCACTTCCACCTGTGACTCAAACACACCGCCACCCTTCATCATGAGTTCATTGTCAGCTCCATCGATAGAGCTCATACCTCCACATTGTCTATGTTGATCTGCAGTGTCTGAATTCTTTTCAAGCTCCTCTTGAAGCTCTTTTACCTCTTTCTGCAACTCCTTGATGTGATCAATGGCGTCTGAGATGATAGATGCCTTGTCCAACTATATATGCCATCAAAGGGTTTAAACACATATGGGACAAAACAGAAAAGAACGAACACCTAGTTCCAAAAAATCTTGAGTTGTACCTTGGAAATATTAGGAACCAAACAACGAAGCTTGTAGAGCCTATCATTCAGCAACTTCCTCATCATCCTCTCAGCCATCATCTGGTCCTCATCATGTTCTTCCTCGTCATCCACGTCTTGTTGTTCCTTGTCCAGCAAGCTAGGGTTACCACACTCAGCAACATGATGCATATTCAAGGCAACAGTCCCCATGGAGCTGGTCAAACCTTCCATCCTAGGGGGAACATCATCTTGTGCTACATCTTTTAACATGTTCATGTCCATCTTCTTACTATCACGGAGGAACCCTTCTCCGCCATTATTATCGCTGATCATCTCTTCATCTCCGCCACAGCAACCGCCCAACAACTTCACAAACCTGTATCAGACAGAAGAAGCCAATGCCATATATTCATCGATCCAAACACGAAAGATATAGAATCTTTCACAAATCATTAAAAATTATCAGAAAGATCAAACCTTTTACTTAGCCTCCAGACGACGAAGTAATCCCAATCCACGAGAGATCTGATCTTCCCCAAGAACTTCTGCGTTGTATTATCCATCGTCTAAATCGCTATATATATATACACAAGATCGATTACACAAAATTAACAAGACAAACCTTAAATACTATCATTAGGAATTAAGGGTATATCATGAAATCAAACACAAAGATGGGGACTTTCCCGAAGAAGTCGAAATTAATCATCTGAATTGTAACAAAACCAGAAGAAGATATTTGAGAAGAGGAAGAGAGAACATAACATAACCATAAGGCATCCATACAACGTTTGAGATCCCAAATTTTGATCACTTCACCAGATGCCCATGTCTCATGTACAACACAAACTTTACTTATATATATATATATATACATGTCTAGTTTCCTCTCTCTCTCTCTCTCTATATATATATATATATATATATATACGGGAGTGTATTTTTTTTCTTATATTTCTTTTTTAGGTCCTTCAAGGTACAGGGCGTCTCAAGTGTGTCTAACTGCACCGGGCCCCACACTCCATAGGACTCCATATTTTAGATTTTTTTTTAAAACAATTATGTTGTTTACAATTTTTTTTGGTATTAAAGATTCTTTTCAAATATAATTACAATAACAATTTTTACTTGATTACCATTTAAATTTTGTCATCGTTTTAAAACTAAAACTAAAAAAATTTCGTAACTATCTTTTTAACTCAATTTAAAAAAATTATCTTTTTATATTCAACACTCAATATATAAATATTAATTTCATTCTGTTTATATAAGATATTGAATATCTATTTCTATATACAAATTAATCGTCTAGTTTCATTTCATCATTTAATGTTATTAACAATAACATTTTCATTTGTGTAAGTATAAATAAATATACGAAAGGGGATATAAAGCATGACAGAAGGAGAAGATTGCATGAGCGCAAAATCCCAACCACCAAATTCTCAACTTCTCTTTCCCATTTCCATTTTCTCTTTCTATATAAAACGACAAAACAATTTTTAAGAAAAAAAAATCATAATTTCTCCACTTATAATATATTTTAGTGTCTGATTCTACTCATGGACTCGCATTGTTTCAACGTAAAGCACATACTTCTCTTCGAATTAGAGATGAGATATAACGATCGTCCATCCAAGACAACTATTTTTTTAAATTTAATTTATGGTCCAAAAAAAATAAATATAAAATGGCATTTTAGCGTAAAACGAAAAATTAACCAAGCCCACAAGCCGAACCAAAAAAATCAATTTTGAAGCCCGTTTGAAATTTCTGGTTAAAGCCCATAAGCCCAAAACGAAAAATTCTCTCTCTCTCTCTCTCTCTCTCTCTCTCTCTCTCTCTCTCTCTCTCTCTCTCTCTCTCTCTCTTGGTTTCTAATCTATTTCTCCTTGTGAAATCTAAGAGCAGTTCCTCTTGGTTTATTCTGGGTATTGGAAATGGCCACTGTCATTTGGTCTTACAGTTCCTTTATTTCTATTTCTCAAGAAGAAAATCTTTCAAAGTGTACCTACCTTACAGATGTAAAAAGAAGCTTTTTGCTAAAGAAAAGATGCGATTTGGTTGTGGCAATGCTGGATGTGAAGACGGTGATAGTGATGGTGATGGTAATGATGAGAGCTCGTAATCATGATTGATTTGATGATCATATAGATGGATGATCGTCATCATGCCATCTTCTAGATGGATTTTCAGGTTATTTGTAGCTGCGAGTCTTTCACATGATCAACCTGCACCATTTCACCGTCTTTTCTCTGCAACATCCAGAAGAAACTAACAATAAGAACTGTGATGAGTTCTGTCTCGTTTTTTGTTTCTTTTGTTGATCCCTCAGACAAGTATGAAGGTGGAACCATACCTCGGCCATGAAGACATTTGAGACAAGATCGAGAGAACGGGTCGTGTTTGCATTTATGACCACGAGCTCCAAAGAATCAAGAGCCTCCATCAACTTTGTGAAGCCACCTGGTTTGTATTCACATATCACCTTCACAGAAAACTCATAACTCCCATCTACCTTAACCATAGCCAGTTCCACCTGTGGCTCAAACACACCGCCACCCTTCATCATGAGTTCATTGTCAGCTCCATTGACGGAGCTCATACCTCCACCTTGTCTATGTTGATCTGACCCATCCTCAGTATCTGAATTCTTTTCAAGCTCCTCTTGAAGTTCCTTTACCTCTTTCTGCAACTTCTTGATATAATCAATGGCGCCCAACATGATAGATTTCCTGTCCAACTACATATGCCACCAAAGGGTTTAAGCGCAGATGAGACAAAAGCAGAAAAGAAAGAACACTCAGTTCTAAAAAGTCTGGAGCGGTACCTTAGTAACATTCGGAATCAAAGAGCGAAGCTTGTAGAGATTATCATTCAGCAACCTCATCCTCATCCTCTCAGCCATCATCTGGTTCTCGCCTTGTTCTTCCTCGTCATCCACGTCTTGTTGTTCCTTGACCGGCAAGCTAGGGTTACCACACTCAGCAACATGATGCGTATTCAAGGCGACATTCCCCATGGAGCTGGTCAGAGCTTCCATCCCAAGAGGAACATCATCTTCTGCAACTTCCGTTAACATGTCCATATCCATCTGCTTATTGTTAGGGAGGAACCCTTCTCCGCCATTGTTTTCGTCGATCATCTCTTCAGCTCTGCCACAATAACCACCCAACAATTTCACAAACCTGTATTCAGACAGAAGAAACCAATGCCATATCGTCGGTCCAAACACGAAAGAGAGAAACTTTCACAAATCGTTAAAAATTACCAGAAAGATCGAACGACAAAGTAATCCAAACCCACGAGAGTTCTGATCTTCCCCAAGAGCTTCTGCGTTGTATTATCGATCGTTTAAATCGCTACATATATATACACACAAGATCTATTACACAGAATTAAGACAAAAACTTCACCTATGTAAACTTTAAATATTATCATTATGAATTAAGAGTATATCATGAAATCAAACACAAAGAAGGGAATTTTCACTGAAGAAAAACAAAAAAATAGGAGCTTTCGCTGAAGAAATCGAAAATAATCATCCGAATTGTTCAGACTATATATATATATATATATATACAATTTGCAAGAGAAATTAAAGAACAAAACCAGAAGAAGAGATTTGAGAAGAGGAAGAGAGAACATAACATAGCCATTTCATACCAAAAAAAAAAAACATAACCCCAAAGACGAATCATTGGAACATGGTGGATCGTATCCTCAAATATCTCAAAGGAACTCCAAACAATGGCATTCACATGGACAACAACAAACACACCGCGATTGTAGCCTATTGTGATGCCGATTGGGCCGGAGATAGGACAGATCGAAAATCAACAACAGGCTACTGCACCTTCGTCGGAGGGAATCTGGTCACGTGGGGGAGCAAGAAACAAAATGTCGTGGCACGCTCTAAATCACCCATACAATATGTTTGAGCTCCCAAATTTCGATTACATCACCAGATGACCCATGCCTCATGTACAACACAAACTTTACTTTTATATATATATATATATATATATATATATACATGTCTAGTTTCCTCTCTCTCTCTCTCTCTATATATATATATATATGTATATATGGGAGTGTATTTTTTTTCTTACAATTCTTTTTTAGTTCTTTTAAGGTACGCAGTGTCTCAAGCGTGTGTAACGAACTGCACCGGGCCCCACCCCAGAGCACTCCATAAAGATTCTTTTCAAATATAATTAGAATAACAATTTTTACTTGATTACCATTTAGATTTTGTTATCATTTCAAAACTAAAACTAAAAAATTTCATAACTATCTTTTTAACTCAATATAGAAATATTAATTTCATTTTGTTTATATAAGCTATTGAATATTTATTTCTAATCTCTTATATTTTTTCTTTCATTATTTTTTATATATCAATCATCTATTTTGATTTCATCATTTGATGTTATTAACAATAGCATTTCCATGTGTGTGTATGTATAGACAAATATACGAAAGGGGATATAAAGTATGACGGAAGGAGCAGATTGCATGAGTGCAAAACCCCAACTGCCTTTGGTTGTGTTGAGATTTCAAAACTCTTTCTACATAAAACGACAAAACGAATTTTAAAATAATAATAAAAATTTATCCACTTATAATATATTTAATTGTGTTCATTCGTTCATCTGCTAATTCAATCGTTTGGTCGGATACCGAGAATATCTGTTCTGGGTTTACAGTTTCGCTCTTCGATTGCTCGTTGGTTGTGGGAAAGATCGCATTTTTACCGATTTTGCCTTGGTAATTGCCAACCTCCTCGATGCAAACGGTTGATAATGAATAAGTAATTTAATTAAAGTGTAAGTGTACAATTACCAAAATAACCCTTGTAAACTTTTGTCCCACATCGGAAAATTAAGTGAGTTTTATTTTCTTTATATATGAGATTCTCCTAAATCGATTACAAGTTGTCTGGCAAAGTGATTGGGCTACTGTCTGTAATGGACTAAACCCCAGGAAAGTCCCCGGGCCCCATTTCCGCAGAGATGCGGCCTCGGTAACGAGTGAGCGTCGAGGCGGAGGTCCACTTTGACCGGATTTCGTGTCAAAGGGGCTGAGACGCGTGCGGAGCCTTCGGGTCTCTCCTCCGACGTATATTGGCCGACTATACTACAGTTATTCACTTGGTTCCTTGCCTGGACCAACCGAACGGGGCTTACGATTCCATGGCAACAAATTTTTTTTTAATTTAATTTAATTTTAATATCTCATCTCAACATAGGGTTTTAGAAAATTGGATTATGGTGGTAGTCAGAAGGTCTGTAAATGACGTGGCAGTCCTGATGAGTTGTGGGTGCAGACAAATCAATAGCCGCCACACATCCATACCCCGATGATATGGCCGCATCCCCTACGTATGTACCGTTCTGCAAACAGACATATACATACGTATGTATGTGCTGTATACATGGCGGCATTCTATGTACTATACAATTCTACATACGTGACCCCAATCTATGTTTATACAACTGCATCACTTGCATCTATGGTCCAAAAATAATAAATATAAAATGGCATTTTAGCGTCAGGAAAACATTTTTTTTAGTAATTCATATCATGTGCAAATTATTGTTACAAGAATAACGGTTACAGGTTAACCGAACCAAAACCAATGATGAAGTTGAGGAAAAATAAAATATAACCGAGCGATAACAAATTCAACTTTCGTTATCTTTAGCTGAGTAGTTTTGTCATTTTGGAACTGCACTCACAAATCTCAAAGACACTCATGGTCGCTAAGTACACTGACATTCTCCAAAAAGCTTAGACCGGAGATGAGAAATTTAATTTGGGATTTGATTCCTCTCCTTTCTTCGTCAACACCTAAACTCTTTCAAACCCTAAATCCATTTTTGCCAAACGGATATAATATAACGGCTAAGTCTACAGATGCCGAAACGGGGACCAGTGAGTGGCACCGTTGCAGATTGGAATCCCTTTTCCCCTTCTGCTTTTGATTTATTTCTGAAAAGAAGAGACTTGACAGTTGACACTGTCCAGACCCTTATTCACTTCTCCTCTGCTCTCTCAAGATATTATATTTTACACCATATATGTATATACACCCGAATTATTAAGAAAACCAGATAATAATAAAAAAAATAAAAAAAAATTATTTTATTTTTAGAAAAAAGCCAATGGAATGGGCGTTTATACCCGCGTTGCGGGACCATCCATGTGAGAAGATTAGCTAAAGGACACGTGGCGGAAGGTTAGGTGGTGATGGGTCCTGGCGTTGTAGACGACGCAATTGAATACGCATTTTTTGTTATTTTTAAAAGTTTAAAAAGCTAAAAAATGATTAGCTCTTTTTTTTTTTCTTTCAAATTTTACTTTTAGGAACAAAAGTGTGTTTAAGCGACACGCGTGTATTGGCCCTCACTGGCTGGCTTAAGCTTTCCCCTGCGGATTAGAGAGAAGGCAAAAACCATGACCCAAAAACCATAATTCTGATGATTTAACGCTGATAAGCACTGGTAGGAGACAATGAATACGGGAAATAGAACTAAAAATCTCTAATTGAATGATTTGAAATGACGAAAATTACATAAAAGAAAAAGAAAACTAAGGAACAAATCACCATCAACAATCTTCATCACCCACCCTCTCTCATACACACAAAAAGAACTTAAAACGGCATAATAATAAGAACAAATCCGGGTTTTTAATTGGTTGGGTTGCTGCGGAAAGAACCCAAGGCCTTGATGGCGGCAGCCCTCAAGATGTACTGGTGGTATGCTGCTGCTGCCAAGGCTCCCACGAACGGTCCCACCCAGAAAATCCACTGCAAGTTTTATTAACCAAAATAATCATTATCACATGGATCATTTCATATTAATTGGAATGGATCATCAAACCCAACTTACATGGTCATCCCAAGCTTTCTCGTTGTTGTAGATGACCGCAGCTCCAAAGCTCCTCGCGGGGTTTATGCCAGTCCCGGTTATGGGGATGGTAGCCAAGTGCACCATGAACACTGCAAACCCAATTGGCAGCGGAGCCAAAACCTGTGACCAACACCCACGAAATTAATTATTTTCACTTTCTTGTTCATAAAGTCGAGATCTTTTCGAGTAACTATCCAAACCCACTTCAGTAAATCAAACCGAATGTGTGCGTACGTACAGGTATGTGAGAGTCACGAGCGCTCCTCTTGGGGTCAGTGGCGGAGAAGACGGTGTAGACGAGGACGAAGGTTCCGATAATCTCGGCGCCGAGGGCGGTACCGGTGTTGTAGCCGTCGGCAACGGTGTTGGCTCCACCGCCGAGGCGGTTGTAAGGGCTCTTCATGAAGGCTTTCACCAGACCCACTCCGCATATGGCTCCGAGGCACTGAGCCACCATGTAAGCTACGGCTCTCACGAGGGACACCTTCCTGGCCAAGAACAGACCGAACGTCACCGCCGGATTGATGTGACCACCTGCAAGAACGATACATTAGTACCACCGTACGGAGATCGAACAGAACCCACAAAAAATCTCGTCAAGAAACGATAAGGGTGCATACTATAGCTCCGATTTGGATCACGTAAAGTGAGTGGCTTACCAGAGATACCGGCGGTGCAGTAAACGAGGATAAAGATCATGCCACCGAAGGCCCAGGCAATCCCGAGTAGGCCAACGCCGTCGCAGGGACCGGACTGCTTCTTGTGGCCGATGACGGTGGCGACGGTGACGTAGAGGAATAGAAGAGTGGCGATGAACTCGGCGATGAGAGCTCTGTAGAAGGACCAGAGCTTGAGCTCAGCCATGTCGAGAAGCGGAGCCGGTGGTGGATCCACGTAGTCCTTCCCATGGTGTTGGCTCTGTCCTTCCTCACTCACTTCCTTCGACATCTCTCTCTCTCTCTCTCTCTCTCTCTCTCTTTCTCTCTCTCTCTCTATCTCAATGGAGATTATGAATACTCTGTTCGGGATAATGCGTGGTGACGACAGTCCCTTCACTCTGCTTTTAAAAGGGAAAACGTCTGCATGGTTTGGATAAGCCCAAGGGCTTTTCCGGAGTTTCTCATGAACTTAATTTAAAAATACTTTCCAGTTAATTCTTTAACTCTCTTATAATCATTACATGCGTTTAGAATATTCCTCTGATATAATTATATCCATTCGAACTGCTTAATTTTTATTTTGTAGAAAACCTTCTACACTTTTTCTGGAATTAAAATCGAATTACATAATATTAATCACACCATTTATTTATTTTTAGTTCATGAAAAAAATAACGATTAAATTTAGTTTATTTACCTATCAAAAGCGCTATTTTGAAGCATGCTTGCTTGGTATCACTGAAATTAAAAAAAAAAAGATTAAAAAATTTGCAATCCAATTTCAATTACTGCTATTTTAGTATATTATGGAAATTTGTTCATTAAAGCCGTCTGATATATATTATTCATGGGTCTGAAAAACGAATTACACCATAATGTTTTTAAAAACATAAAAAACAGATGGTTTATGTATAAATTGTCTAACCAAACTTAATATAACTTTGTTTATATAAAGATAAAACCCAATACAGCACGATATTGTTTTTGCTGAGCTGTATTGATGAAGTTTTAAAAAAGTGTGGGGGAGTGGTGGGGCCCAAAAGCTACAGCGAGGCCATGTGAGCGATAATCATATATGGTGAGGAGTAGGGTTTTCTTCGTCACCATGTCAATTGTCAATCCCTTTTTTCTCTCCAACGGTTATATTATATCTAAGATCAAATTAATTTTAACTTAATTTAATATATTCTTAAGACCAAAATTATTCCTAATTATAAATAAGTAATTTAAATATATCATCAAAAGATAATTAAATTTTTTTAATGAAAAATAAATATGGATCGTACCAAGTTAAATAAATAGAATTTTTATCAAATAAAAAATAACAAAAAAATAATAATCAAAATCCGATATCACAATATCTGTCTTTTTCCCCCTATTTTCTAATTCCTTTTTTCAAAAAAATCAGCCATATTTTTATCTTTAATATTTTTTCATAATCTCTAATTATATATTTACATATACCATGACAGAATTATTCCATCATGGATAATTAATTTATACGGATTTGCTTCAACGTGGATCCGTTCATAATCAGGATTCTCAATATATCGATCAATATTTAACATTTCTTGTCAATATATTATTGATATATATATATATATATATATAATATAGTATAATGCATGTTACATAGTTGCTAAGGAGTTTGGGATTTTATCATACGATGGATATTAATTAAGCGACATTAGTACTAACGGCAATAGAGGAAGCCTATAACTAACTTAATTTAAATAATTCTTACCTTTTTTGGTTTTTTCTTAAAAAAAGGAACAACAAATTTTACTTTTAATTAAATTTGTTGACAATGGTCACATGTCTTTTTCAGCGCTGTCTCGTCTTTATGCCTTGATAATCGTATTTTGTCCTTATCGGCCCCCTCGTCCCTAATGTATAATAATTTATTATTTCATATAAAGATACGTACTCTATAGGTTAGCTATTTACGGCGTGTATGTGTGCAATGCGTGCGTGCATGCTCAGGATATTTTTAAATTTTGTTTTTAATTATATTCATCTAATTTTTATATCAATTTTTAAGATTTTTAAGTTGAATTTTAATTCCTATATAATGATATATGTTCCATTTAATTTTACTGCTTAATCCTATACTTCATCCAAATAATTTTCTAGAATAATATTTAATTCCGAATCATTATTCTTTGAGGACCAATACGGGACTCCACTTTAAAAAAAATGCAAGATAAGCCGATTTGCAATCATATGATATAATTTTTGCTGTGATATTTTTACTCCAACAAAAAAATTAGCATATTATTATTATTTATTAATTATTATTGTATGATTCACTCAGATTTGTGATTTTTTTTAACACCGTTTCTTGTGTGCGAGACTTATAACATGTAGATAATTTTGTTAGATGCGTTTTCTATATCATTTAAAATATTAAAAAAAAAAACTCGACATATAATAAGAAAATTGAACAAAAAATGCATTTTTTTTTATCCGAGCTGTATATTGAAAATTTTTAAAATTATATATCAATCTGTATCTCCGGATTTCGTCTTCGTCTATTTATTAACGTCTTTATCCGATAGAAAAATATCTTAAAAATCTGTACGTTTTATATGATAATTTGAAATCAATTATGGTATTAGATTAAAATTGTAGTTTACATACTCGGGATTTTTTTTAGTGCAGTATAAACCAATTATGGATCACATGGGTGCCAGCTGGTAAAACCATAATTGATCGCACATTCTCCACGAGCCCCCACAACCCCAAAAGCTTAACCACCAATTAAAATTCAATCAAAGTTAAAAACTAAAAACAAACCTCACAATTAACAGTGTAAAGAATCTAAACAGCAACACAAATAATGTTTTCAATTATATTATCGTACAAAAAAATTATAATTTTTAATGGGAAGTAGTGGTACATGAAATTGTAATGATTTATATTATATTTATAATCTGGCATAATTGGGATTATAATTTTTTGGATTTAGAAGAATGTCCAAAAGTTGTCCCCCACCATCAGTCGTTGCCAATCCTTATCTCCAATAACGTCCACGTCACTTTCCAACATCAGATCGGCTATGCCAGATCAGATATCTAACTCGGGGGCCCATTTCGATAAGTTGTCTTCGATCCATCTAGATTGTGCCACGTGTATAATATCGCCCTAACGGCTATATTGTTCCAGACCCTTCTGTTTCCAACCGTTATTCTAAAATGGTCCCCCCCAATTTTGAAAATCTAATTGTTTTGCACAATATATATATATATATATATATATGTATCTTGTATAAAAATTTATTGATGAGAAGAATTTTATTTTTGTTTCTTTGTAATAGAAAAATTCCAAGGCAACCATTTATGATTCTCGTAATAAAGTAAAACTGTTCTAAATAAAGGCAAGTACACGAGGGTTCAAATTCAATAGTGTATCTGTTATGACAAGACAACCTCAAAACACTAACCTGACAAAACCATTATAATTTCAGTGTAGTAATTAGTATATTTATATATACACACACGACATATAGAACTGAATATGGATCAGTTCCCAAATCTCACTCTAAAGCCAACATTATATATATTCGGGCCCATGTATATGGGCACGAGAGAGAGGGAGTGGTGAAATCGGCCGAATATTTTGTGAAAAATAGAATAATAAGGCCCATTAAGATGGCAAACCAAACCCCTAAGAAATATAATAACAAGAACATCAACATCAACATCTCCACATCGCTTTAGTCCTAAATTTATTTGGAGTCGATCGCATGGATTCTTCGTTTTCACTCATTTCGGTTTTGCATTAACTCTTTCGGAATTTGTAACAATTCTAAATTCCGAAAGAGCTAACGCAAAATCGAAACGAGTGGAAACGAAGAATCCATGGGACACCGCCATTTCGGGTTTCGGTTCGGTTTTCGGTTCGGTTATTTCGGGTTCGGTTATTTCGGTTATAAAAAAAATCATACCCAAACGGTTATATAGATTTAATCGGTTCGGTTCAGTTCGGTTTCGGTTCGGTTCGGTTCGGTTTTTGCATAATAAAATTATAACCAAACGATTATATTTTCCGGTTTATTCGGTTCGGTTTGGTTATGATATATTTTTTAAAAAAATTTATTAATCCTACATAAATTTCAAAATATCTATTTAAATAAATGCACAAAATGATTAATCATGTAAAAATAAAATTATAAAAAAATCTAAAAACTTCAATAATTAGGATAAAAGTTAAAAACATTACATTTTATGGTTTATTGGATGAAATATATAAGGTTAATAATGAGGATAAAAATTAAAATATTTAAAAAACTCAATAACCGTTCAGTTAACCGCGGTTATTCGGTTATTAACCGAACCGAACCGAACCCGAACGGTTATTCAACTTCCTCAACCGTTCGGTTATTAAGCAAATAACCG